CCCCTCTCCTCCTCCTCCTCTCCTCTATTCTCCTCCTCTCCTCTATTCTCCTCCTCTCCTCCTCTCCTCTATTCTCCTCCTCCTCCTCCTCTCCTCTATTCTNACACACACACACACACATACACACACACGCTATACTGTAGGTATCTCAGTGGTTGGTTTAGGAAAAATGAGTGTATTTAAAGCGACCAGTTTGACCGTGTTGCACAGTGCTTTGTGTGTTTATGTCTTTCCATTACACGGTCAAACTGGTCGCTTTAAATACACTCATTTTTCCTAAACCAACCACTGAGATACCTACAGTATAGCGTGTGTGTGTATGTGTGTGTGTGTGTGTGTGTGTGTGTGTGTGTGTGTGTGTGTGTGTGTGTGTGTGGTGAACAAGGAAGAGGAGCACACAACAGGTTAGAGGTTAGGTTTTAGCGCAGGTTAACAGAACAAACAGGAAGACGCGTTAGTAAACAGGCAAAAAGGCAGAAATGTCACGTTGTTATAAAAAGGAAGTCTCATTTTCATTATGACTGAGTCCAGGTTAGTATTAACAGGGTTTCACATGTATAACTAGCTACCTGTTCACATGTTTGATCTAATCCAAGTATCACGCATTGTGGAATGCCATAAACCCCTCTGGTTCAGCCCTGTTTCTTTGTGGGGCGTAGCTAAAGAGCCAGATTTTCGAGGGGGTGGTGGAGACCAAAACAGAGCTAAAAAGAAGTGTGAATATTGGACATATTGGATCATTAAAAAAAGAAAGCGAGAACCTTTTTTTTTTTATGTCTTCTTTTTTAAATTAATGTTGGAATGTCAATAATAAATGTTGACGTTTTTAGAGCTAACAACCGAGCAAATACATCTCTCCACATGAGTCATACCAAACTGCTACCCACAGCTGAGATGGAAAAGACACTTCCTTTGAAATAGTTCGTAACCATAGATACATGCAAACCTGCTGGTGGAGAACACAGGAAGAGAAAACATTTCAAACACAACGTGGCAGAGAAATCAGAGAGAAGCACAGGTTAGGCCGAGAAAAGGGATAGCCAATCAGAGAGGGGCGAGTCAATCATGTGACCAGGCTTACCTTTTAGCTATAGGCAAGTGAGACAAAACGATCTAAAGGAGGGGGGGAACAAAAAGGAAAGAAAAACACAAAATAAAATAGAAAAAAAATAGGAAGAAAAATGAAAAAAATAAATAACAGAAAGAGAGAAAAATGTTTGATCACTGTGCTGTTAAGGGAGGGGCACCTGTAAGTTAATATAGGGAGATACATAGATAGAGAGATAGATATATATATATAGAGAGAGATATGAGTCAGGGGAAGGGCAGTAGTAGTTTGAGCAAGGTTTAATTCAGAGCACAGGATTATTATGCCGTCTTTAAATGATCATTTCAATTATTAACTTTAGTAATTATGCACCTCTTAAAAGGTAGGGTAGGTAAGAATGGAGAAACCAGCTCGAGTCCGCTCGAATTTGAAAGTACGCAGTCTACGCACCCAAACAAAATTCTGCCCCTTCCTTCAGACTTCCTTACAGAGCCCCTCCTCCAACACACACGGACGCGAACATCACCAATGAGGGCACGAGATAAGTTTGTGCACAGATGGAAGGCTGACAGGCAGGTAGGCCATCCAGTTATTTTAGCCGAGCCGGCTCAGATGATTGGTCGTGCTTTTTAAAACGCCACGGCTTCCACAGATGACATTTTCGAATGTATTTATTGTCAAAGCATTTAATGTATTCATTGCCATCGGAGTGTTAAGAGCATTCCATGGAATATAATAATATAATAATAAAAAGTGTTTCTGAAATAAATTACATGCCCCACTTTTAAGACAAGAAATCAGGCAAATAGCATCCTGTTATCTGACTCGAATATTGATCCTGTGTTCTGAGATCACATTTGGGGCCCATTTTACTACCACAGAATACAATTATAATTTTAGGTTGTGTTTATGGTTATTCAGCCTCAAAACAGGTTGTTATTGTACTATTCATATTTGTCACTGGTGAGATCACGGGCAGTTGGACAATAAAAACAACAGGGATAAGATTTATACATACATATTCTGTTTGACCAGAATAGAGAGTAAAGCATTATGTCCTCATGTTACTTTATGCTTCATGAACCTCCTTAGCTGCAGAATTAACTTTGTTTTAAATTACCGCCACGTTAAATCATTTGATTATGTGCTAGTCAAAGGGAAAGCACACTATATTATCAGTCTGTGTCCAATAAAGTTAACAGGATACATATGAGAGTCATTCAGCGGAATATGTGTGTGTGTGTGTGTGTGTGTGTGTGTGTGTGTGTGTGTGTGTGTGTGTGTGTGTGTGTACTGGTAGCCAGCATAGGGTTCTTAAAGGATGAATTCACACCAAAATGACAAAGTTTTATATCAAAGACTCTTTGGAATCTTGCAGAAAATGTTGTTTCTCATGCATAACAAATGGAAAAATCTTGATCGATGGAAGTAAATGGGTGCCACGGCAAAACTATATCCAAACATGAGTTCAAACATTTTCACGTAGTATAATCAATTCTAATTTTTATGCTCACAACTTCACAAGCATATGAGATTTCACGATTTTCACAAAACGTTACTATTTGAAGCACTTCTGCATAAACAGCCTCACAAATGTGAGGGCGTGCTATTTTTATTTATTTGTAGCTTTATGTGGATATAAATGTAGTATTGTTAAACAAGTAACAGTTACTTCTAATCTTGTTCATCGTGTACAAAAGAGGATTAGGGCCACATGTAAAAAAACTTTTTGAGATCTGACCAAAAGAGAACACATTTGTTGAGTTTTGAGATTAAAGTCTCAAAGAAAAGAACTATTTTGGTCCGATCGAAACAAAATTTCACATTGCCCTAATCCTCTTCTGTAACTGTGAACACAAGAGACGGACAACGGTTTCTTTGTAAAAAACCAAGGTAACACGGGGTGAGTAATTGATATACACATGGTCATTTTATCTTTCCAACTTGTCTTTGTTCTAAGGTTTGTATCACAATAAATCCAAAATATACGGCTAAGAAATGACAGTCAGCACAAATTAACACAAGTATTAAGTCAAAATACTTATGTTTAGTTTGACTATACTAATGTCTTCATATTTTTTATTTACGTCCTCGACAATGAATGTCAAAGCCCCAAGGCTTTGATTGACAGGTGATGCTGTTTGAGCGGTATCATACTTGTGTTTTACCTGAGTCAGAGGGCAGGTGAGTGCAGGGAGCCGGGCTGTACACTCGAGCTGCGTAATCTTCGAAGGTGGTTGGCTCCTGGTGGTGCTGCACGATGGTCTCCAGGTATCGGGCTCGCTCCTCATAGCTGAGGTCAAAGGTCAAGGTCAAGCAACAAAGAAACAAACACCAACAAAACATGGAAGGAGCACAAATATCAAATCTGGAAACAAACAGTTATCAAACCTAGACAAGCTATAAACTGCTGGTGTCATAGAAAGAAAACATTTTTTTTTTATTCCATGGTGTTTTCTGACGGAATAAAACAAAAGATCAAATTGACTGGACTTTCTTCTGCAGATGGATATGACAGCACATAGTCCTTCGTCAGAGTGTCCTCCTTAGCAACAGTCTGCTAGATTCATTTATCATGAATCAATCTATTCAATACAAAAATTAATACAAAAACATTATATCAAATATTTTTGGAAAGGATTATGGGTTATATATAGACTTTATTTTATAAAGCTGAATCCTTGTTACTATCAAATATAAGCAAACACAATCAAAGTTTGCTGGAGAAACCATAGTGTGTGTTGAAAGGTTACTTGATCTATAAATAAATAAATATCTCAAATAAATGTGAACTTAATCATTAGCAAAACATATAAAATAAAATAAGAGATTATTATAATAATAATAATATAATAATAATAAAGAACTGAAGAAAAGGTAAACAATGAAAACAAAATAAAGAAATACAATTAGTAAGCGCCTTAATGGATTTTCTATGTGAATCTTCGGAGAATGCGGCGGTCCAAATAAAAAAAAAAATGAAAAAAGAGAAAGAAAGAAATGCTCTTTATTACCTGCTATTACAGCCTCTCAGCATTGATTTCAAAGAGAGAGGCGCAGGGATTCTGCAGAGTAAATGGAAACCAGGACTTCAACTGTCCATCTATTAGAGATAACCTCATTGATAGAATGACATTTACCCTCTCGTCCTTAGTCCTACTCATACATCCAGCCACAATGACAGCCATATGCAGTCTCTCGGACACACACACAAACACACACTCACAACTCAGGGCCATCATCTCCCAATAACATTACCATTTGCTCCAATAACTGAGGATTTGCAATGAGAGTGTGTGTGTGTGTGTGTTTTATAAGAGTGGTTTGTGAACAGGCACGGTGTGTATGTAAGTGCATGTGTCCGTGTTTGTGATGGGATTAGGCCAATGAATCTTCAGAATGAAATCTCTGTGTGTGTATGTGTGTGTGTGGTGGGGTGCGTTGTGAATGGGTCGACCCTCTGAAATAGCTCCCATGGGTTTTCTATTGGGTTAGAGAGGCGCTCTATGGGCCTCAGAAGATAAAGATTCAGGTCTAATGGTAACTGATCCAGTTAGAGCCAATGATAATAACAACAATATGGCTCCTTTAAAGTGGAGGGACAGACTGCGCTGGCGGAATCAAACAGAAAGAAGGAAGGGTAGAGAAGAGACTGGGGAATGAATGGAAAAGAGGGCAAGAAAGTTAAATAAACCTGTTATTACTCAAATATGCTATTAAACTTTGTAGCTCTGGTCAACTTTTTATAAGAAGATAGTGGCCGACCCCTCCCACCCTGGACACAAACTGTTCACCCCCATCCCCTCTGGCAGGAGGCTGCGCTCCATCAAGACCAAAACCTCTCGCCACTTGAACAGTTTCTTCCCCTCCGCTACCGGCCTCTTAAACAAGGCCCGGCACCCCCACTAACACTTTCCCTCAGCCACAACATAGTCTCTATATGCATTACATTAAAGCACACAATGTTCAAATATTGCTTACTGCACATATTTCATATTCTATAATTCACTGCATTCTATTTCGCTGTAAATTACCGCTTTATTTTATTGCTATCTATCTATATTGTTTTACAGTTTTCTTAATATAGTTCGCTATCTGTGTACCTTTTTAGATTTTTTGTTTTATATTTTATGTATGGACCATGACATCAAGTCAAATTCCTCATACGACGTGTCAACCTACCTGGCAATAAACCCGTTTCTGATTCTGAATAACTTTCAATGCCAGAAGGGTAGACAAAGGTCCAAAGTGATGAAATGTTTTATACCCAGTAAACTTAGAGCTTGATGTAATTACACTGTCAGTTTTCTATTTAGCTAGCAAGTGTTAGCTATCTAGCGAACGTAAGCTATCTAACAGCTATCTGACAAGAGGAAATGTAAGCGGAAGTACCAACACAAAATAAGATAATGTGGAACCACCCTTTGCAGCGTCACTTTAAATGTTGGGGTCACAGTGATTTTGGGAAGGCATTACCTCCTTTTCTTTCATGAAGGAGAGTCCTTTGTATCCTTGAAAAAAGGATTAACAAGGGAAAGATTTAAGCTGCTTTCCATCAGCTAGAGAAATCAAACAGCTGCTTTAAGGTATTTCCGGGTCATTTCACTCCGTTAGAATCTTTCCTAAGCAAAAAATGCTATTTAACACTTGTTTCAAAAAGTCAAACTGAGAAGGGAAGGGAGGGAGCAACAGTGGGAGAGAGGGAGGCTAGAAGTTCAAGACAGTGAGAAGCTGAGGGAGCAACTTGTAAAATGAGAGGAGAGGGAAGTGGAAGGGTAAAGCGGAAGAAGGGTGAGAACCCTAGAGCAGGTCATAGTGGAGGTGAAGGGGAGGACAGCGGGTGAGACAGGGAGAGGAGGATATTTAAGTAGCATGATGCAGTGTGTGTGTGTGTGTGTGTGTGGGGGTGTGTGTGGGTGTGTGTGTGTGTGTGTGTGTGTGTGTGTGTGTGTGTGTGTGTGTGTGTGTGTGTGTGTGTGTGTTACTCGGAGAGAGCGGAGAAAAGAGCAACAGTCTCACACACACAGCGCAGAGTCCCCTCGCCGTTTGCCTTTTCCTGCCCCCCCCCTCCTCTGAATCACACTTCCCTCTGAGGTGAAATGTGTGTCTGTGCAATTAAGACAAATAACTTGTATGTATTACCAAAAACACACAATGATCTTCCTGTTGACAGAGTGTCTGGCTGAATGAAGAAGCAGCTAGGGAAACAGCACCTGAAGGTTTTAGAATAAATGCACTGCCTTAATATTAGCAAATATGGAAGTACATTTTTTTAAACATGTAACATATTTTAGTACAACGTGCACTTTTTCTATTTAACTTCTTATGTTTTTATAAATATTTCATTATATGATTTTAAAGAAAAATGTTCTGATGTTTATATAAATATCCTTCTTATTTATCTTTATTGCACATTTTTACTTTAACTTCTTACATTTATACATATTTGAATTTAATTACTTCCTTTAATACGAAACCCACTATTCCCCAGGATAGATCAAGTATTCTGATTCTAAAAGTCCAGTGTTGCGTCATTTCTGAGGAGGTGAAAAGGTTTACAGGGCTCCAGCTGGACAGAGCACAGAGGCAGGGCGGACTGAAAGAAAGGACAAGGAGGAGACGGAGAAATAAGTACACAGGCATGGCACCACCGCTGAGATAACTGATGGGAACATCACTTAACTTTCCTTCACTCTGTGTTCGTATGCCTTCTTTATCTCCCCCTCTTTCTTCCTCTCAGCGTGGGGTCTCTGCCTGTGGCCTGATGTCACTGTGTCACAAACACCAGCTAGCCACCAGGGGGCTGGCTGATACGATATATCACGTTTTAGGCCCCGGCCCCACGAGGACGCATACGGCTAAACGCATAGGATTAACGCAAACGCAAAAAAGCTTCCGTTCACACGCAATATTCACCGGATAGTGTCTGTCCACACGAGACAGCTCCGTTTAGCTCCAACCACTGGAGAAGCTGCAGTACATATGCAGGAGCCTGTACGTGGCGCTGTAACTTCCTCCACAAAAGCAGCGAAGAAGCATGGTTACAACCATGACGGTTGCCCTTCTGTTTATTCTCCGCGGTGGGGGCCGAGGGAGATGGGCAGAGTTTTTCGCCAGTCAACGTGTATTAAAGTTTTAATCTTCCGGACAAAATTATAAAAGTGCCAGTCAAAGGTCTTCTTTGCTATTTATTGAGCTTTAAAACAAATGAATAACGACTCTATATAATAATAAAATACACAGAGCCTCTCTTTTTCCTCCCTCTCTTCTGACAGCGTCAGTGTCTGTCTCATGCAGCAGCTGATCCAGTAATGAGTGACCCGACAGTAAAAACAACAT